CAGTGGGAACATTTGCAAAGAAGCTGTTATTAAAATCATTACTTTATTGATGTCATGACTGCATTAAGTTATGACTGCCCACATTGACAACATGACTCGGCCCAAACGTAATCATGACTTTTTTTAGTGATAATAAAATAGTGATAAATGAACTTTTATTATACTGACGAACTTTTTCTCTGTCGATCTTTCTCTCTCTTATTCAGCCATGGAAATCAGTTATCTACATTGGCCAAAAGCTTCATCGATCGCCTCCTGACCCTTGAGCCTGAGCACCGGATGACCGCTGAGAAAACTCTTAAGCATCCTTGGCTTGTCAGCATGGCAGCCTGTTCCTCCAACAAGAACTTACACCGCTCCATTTCCCGAAACCTCCAGCGGCGGGCGTCACGGGCCTCCTCTCGATGCCTCAGTTCGAGATCTACTCCTGGGTCACGGATATCGATGAGGTCTGGGTCACGGTTAGGGGTCAGCGACAGGTCACAGTGCCTGAAGATTGCTACATAGCAAGGTCAAGGTTTGGCTGGGTCTCATTGACTAATTTCACAAAAGAGGTGAAAACAGTCTGTTTAATTCTAAAGATCAGAGAGATTATGGAAAATGGACAGTGAAATTACTTACATCGTAAGTGGATCTCAAGGAAAAAAATTAATAGATTAAAAATGCACATGATCCTTTAGATAAACTTGAATGTCGAAATGCAGATATTTTTCTGAAAGGTAAATCATCTATGCATCCATGATAATGTTTGTGCTAGTATTAATTTTTCAAGATCTTCAACATATTATTTGCGATCTCCTACTCATGATGAACAGCGAAGGAGTTTAAAGTCTCCACTATAAAAAGAAAAGCACAGATCAGCACCTCTGCTCTGTTCTCCCACATTCATTCCTTCATTAATCAAATGAATATGAGCTGATTATATAAACTCACCATTCTATTTTAAATTATACATTTTTCAGCCCTGAAGAATCATGCAGCAGGCTAAAATGCAAATGGGCAGGGAGTGTAACCCAACTCAAATGATGTGATCTGCAGATTTTCTGTCCTGCTTTTCTTCATATTAAGTTTTTGTTTTGTTTTTTTATTGGGGTGAGCCTCTATAGAATTGCTTGTGTGAAGAAATTAATACTTTTATTCACCAAGGAACAATTAAATTAATCAAAAGTAAAGACAATGTTACAAAATATTTCTTTTTCATATAAATACTGTTCTTTTGAAATTTCTATTCAAGCAAAAAAAATATATAATAAATTGTATCACGGCTTCTACAAAAAGATGAAGCTGACTGAAGATGATTTTCATGTGACATCGTGTGGGTTTTAATAAAAAAACTGTTTTAAAAAAATTACCTGATGGAAAAACTTTTCGCTTTCACAACGAAACACATGGCGGCAGCAACAAAACTACAGCGAGAATAAAAGTTACGCCTTCTTTCTTTGTGTGAAAGTTTGGGCGGCGTTATGCAAATCTTCCCACATAGTGATGTAGACATGTGGGGGCGTGTTAGAACGAGCCGTTTTAGGTAGGCGTGGTTGACTCTTAACTTTTATAAAGAATATCTCTTTCGATTTGAGACTTTAGTCTTTGCAACTTTACAGATCTTCTTTATGCACCAAGAGCTTGTAACACTTCAAAGAGAAAGGAAAAATTTAAATCACATCATATGACCCCTTTAAATTGTACATCCAGATGAATCTCATAAGTAGAAATGATGCGCATTGACCACTAGAGGGAGTAGGGAGAGTAATGTTTACAATCACGTGACCTATGCTATTCTGCATCACAACAAGGAGTGACAACCTAATAGACTTCATATATAAATAATGCATTAGAATAGATCCAGTAAAATTTATGCTAAACTTTAAATGCTAGTTTATTAGGTTATTGTTTGCATAAAAGCTTATGATGGCACATGGACACAGTCAAAAAAAATATTGCATAATGTTTTTCCTCTATTGTGGATTGCAGTGTAAGTACAGCAAAGTAGAAGAGAATAAAAACAATAAAGAGGAGACAAACAAGGAAGAGAGACTGTTAGACAAGGATGAACACAGAAAAGGTGGGTTGTTGGGGAGGAAAGTAAAGCCATTTCCCCAGGGAGTGTGTTATATAACAGAAACAACCTCTCACTGTATACAAGAGAGTCAGACAGCGCTGCATTACAGTCAGACAAACATGGGCACTGGAACAACACTGCTCTACTATCCACATGCACATATACTGCTCCCTGGTGTTTTTAGGTCCAGAAAAAGTTCAAATAAAAAAAATGTCAATCACTTTAATTGCAACATTCAAAGCACATCACATAAGCATTTCACAACCCAGTTTACTGTAATGTCTCATATTTCAAAAGTATAGGTTTTTAAATAAATTCATGGTTACCATGCGTCCTCTTTTTTCCCCAGATAAGTCCTGGCCAGGATTTCTAAATTGCCTAAAACGTCCGGGTTTTGGCTTTGTTTTCCTACTTGCTGAAGGTAATGTCTGGAAAGAACAAGGCCAAAACAAGGACGTTTTAGGCCATTTAGAAATCCTGACCAGGACTTGTCCAGGAAAAAGTGGACGTTTCACACTAATAAATTTAAACAAAGAAATGAGACATGAAATAAAGAAGCATTTAAGATTCTGCACTATTTATTGGACAAACTGAAGGCAATCTTGGGCTTCAACATGAAATCACAATGGACCCTATTTATCAGTATGAATTTTGCACCTCAGTGTGAATCGCTTTCACTTCCTGAACCCAAAGCACAAGCTTGCACGTAAATCTAGAGTCAGACAATTACTTCTGCTTGATGATTCTGTGAAAACACAATGTCAAAATGCACCAAATAACTCACACCCCTAAAACATCAGAATTTTCCACCATGAAGACTGAGACAAACATGTAAAACTGGATTGAAGAGTATTATAGACCATTTCCTGTCAGCTATGCTTTGTGAGTGTGAAAAGTAAATGGGTGTAAAATGTTTTGACTACATCTTGAGACAAGTCCTTTATGGGCTCATATTGCAGTTCACTCATGCTTGTTCTAAGACTACATTATTTTACTATATATATATATATATATATATTCTAATAAAGAACACAGTTTCCTTGATTGGCAGGGTTCATTGCAAAAACAAAAACAATCCAAATAAAACACTAAAAGGTATGAAATATTTTGATGTATGAAATATTTTCATTTGCTGTCATGTGACTTAACCAAAAATCAAGCGTAGCATTAGTTCTGGCAGGTCACATTAGTCAAGCTCGCATCAGCTGACCTTCAGCTGATCCCATCTACCTATAGGAATACGACACCTATCTAAACATTCATATATAAGGTCCCTCAGTATTATCAGCAGTTTTCGCATTGCTCAATAGCTAATTACCCTCCTCCATCCCCAGCTCCTCCTCTGTCAGTCGGGATTCAGCCTTCTGATTCACCTTGAATCAGACGAATTCTAAAATGTGTACATAAAATGATTGAACTTTAACAATATCTGCAATACATTTATGTTAGTTCTGTTCTGTTTACCCTGGAGGGTTATTGCTGCTCTGAGAACCATGAACTTGCAAATTTGTTGTTAAATTTCTGAAATATTAATTTGACATTTCAGGGGGTATGTAGAGTAAATATTTTGGTAACGCTTTACAGTATGAGCTAACAATTAACAATATATATTTTTTAAAGCATTTACAACCTTTGTTAATTTTAGTCAATAAAAATGTTCATGTTCATGTTAGTTCAAAGGACAGAACTAATGTTAACAAATACAACTTTTGATTTTAATGTATATGTTGAACTTGACATAAGAAAGAAAGAAAGAAAGAAAGAAAGAAAGAAATTATTTAGTATTATATATCATTAGCTTATACATTATGTAAGTCTGTTTCTCAAAGGAAATCTTTCTCTCTGTCTGTTTAAAGTGTCCCTGTATGAAGCAGCCTCTCTTCCTGCCCTCTTTCAGCGCTCGACCAACCCCGCTGCTGTCCACAGGTGATCGGTGTCTCTTTCCAACCAATGAAGACGCAAAACCTATTAACCCTTTAGTGGTCCAACCAGATCTTTTCAAGGACTGTAGTGAGCTGGACTTCATCGTAAAACAAACGTTTGGTCGCTACTTTTGCCAAGCGTCTCGAGTTGAGTTTAATTCAAAGTGAAAGCGCAGTGGATGCGCGCGCGGTGCGGCCGTCGGTGATTTTTACGCGCGGATTATCATATGATCATCGGGTTTATGAAGACGGATTTTCTGCGGCAGTAATGATCCAGATCCCATTCCAAAGATGATGACTGTAGAGTTGGACATGCGTTTGCTGTATGTCCTCTTTTCCCCCACAACTCCTTCGTATGGCTTTGGGAATCTGGTCTTGACATGTTTAGGATGAATTGTCACCATCCACCCTGGTGGAAAAACGGGTGAGTTACTCTTTTCCACCAATGCTTTTATAGACAACTTTCTTTTAAAATTATTGTTAGATTGAAGGTTTAGGAGGTTTAGCCTTATGCCAGATTATGTTGTTCCTGGTTTGGTCAAGAGCTAAATAACCTGGCAGATCCAGTGGCCTATTGTGTCTCCTCTGCCGTATGAAATATTCAATTTATATAACAAATGAACAGGGAAATGTTTAGTAATAGACTGAACACAACACACCACCGTCTGCTTGACCTCATTAAAGTGATTGCATTACTGTTAAATATGGACCTCTTTAAATAAGGATTGTTCTTGAGTTGGTGCCAGTTTTTTTTCCCCTGTTGGGACCTCTGGAGTTGAACACACATGGATCGATTGTACTTTTTTCAGTGTTCATATATGCATTAAAAGTCACAATGTGTTTTATACAATAATATTATTGCTAAAAAATAGCTTAAACCAGCCTAAAACGGTTTACTGGTCTTACTTGGTCTCCCAGCCTGGTTAAACTGATGTGTTGACTGGTTTTAAAGGGGCTTTGGCTATTTTTCAGCTGGTTAGACCAGCTAGCCACCCAGCTAAATCAGCTGATAACCAGGTTGGCCAGACTGAGAGACCAGTTGAAACTAGTAAACCAGTTTAAGATGTTTGATTTTTATTAATTTTTTTAGCTGGTATTAATGCATTTATGTGTTTTTCAGAATTGGTTGAGGATGTGTTTGAATTAAATAGCTAGGCTTTAAGCTTCAGAAGACTTGCACAACAAGAGGTGTAGTGTTGCACGCTTTAATTGTGCATTGTTTGGAGATATGTGTATTATTATTCACAATATATCAGCGTTTAATAGACATATGGTCTGGATTGTAGTTGAGGCCTTGAGTATGATCTCTCCGCCTTGACTGACGAATCATCCTGTAAATAAAAACTAGACAATATGAATAACTAGCCTGAACCTGTTCAGTGCCCTTTTAGCAGTTTCGCTGCATTTTTGTTTTTGCGGTTTTGTCTTAATATAAAAAAAGTATGTCTGAAAAGCTATTAATATGACCTGAATGCATTTGAAAGAAATGAGTGTCGTGGAAGATGTATTTGTATACTTTAGAAGTC